TTTTCTTTCGGCGAGGTCGTCGATATTTAAACTTTGAGAACGTTTGAATTTCCCGCCTTTTTCTCGAACATTTCGCGTCAGTTGCCGGCCGTCGTCTCGCGTCTCTCGTGCATTATCTACCCTATATATGTAAGCGTCGAATTCATCGAAGATGCGTTCCGCATCGATCTCTACGCATCTCTCTCTCTCTCTCACACTCCTCTCCTCAATCCTCTCGTGTAATACACACTCAAAGATAGTTCCGATTCGTGCATTCCCCTCTACGCCCTCGCCCATTCCCTCCACTTCTTCCTCCTCCTCCTTCTCCTCCTTTATCGTTCTCTCCCCTCCTCATACTTCGTTCTTCCGGCCGTCGTCAACGATGAGTTTGCTTGCTTGCTTTTTGAAAGCTCTACCCGCGCTTTTTTTGTCCTCCTCCCGTCCATACCATACCCACGACCTGTTTGAACTGGATGATTGAATATTCGCGTCCTATCTATCTCTATCGTCTGTCTCTCTTTTTCTCTTCGAATTCTTCTCCCCTCCCCCCTCTCTCACTCTCTCTCCCTACCCCCCTCTCTCTCTCGTCGTATTTCGTTTCTCGTTTCACGAAAATGCGTGTAAGTACGTAACGCGCTTGCGCACGTGACTCGATGCGCGAGTGGCGCGGTGACGACGGTGGCGGCGGTGGGATGTGCGGGGGGAGAACCTGCTCCCGGTGGGTGGCTCGTGAGTTTCGTCATTTTTATTTTTTTCTTCTTGTTTTTTTTTGTTTCTCATGCCTTTCCCCTTTTTTTTCGTCTTTTTTTTTTGCGCGCGAGACTCCGTCGAACAGAGGACGTGCTCGCACGCAACGATGCTCACGAGCGTGATTGGTACCTACCTAACCACCCCTTCCTCTCCGCCCCCTCCCCTTTCGATCTTCCGTCCAAGATTTTCTGCTTCGGCCTCCAATTTAAGCGTCGCTCAGAACAATTTTTTTTTATTTCTTTCCGCTTTGTTTTGTATTTTTTCTTCAATTAATTTTCTTTTTCTTTCTTCTTTCTTTTTTTATCTCGAAGAGATAGGCTAAATGTTTCTTTTTACATGCAAATCGTGGAGATATTTTACGTAACCTTCATGCTTTTTTTTATCTGTTTATTTAATTATTTATTTGTGTAATTTTTTTTTTCTATTTTATTTTATTTCGTTTCAAAATTGTGACGAAAACGTTCTGTCGCCATCTTGTAAGATTCATCGATCGATTACACGGGAAAGAGAGCGCGCTAAGCATCGGCGTTCTCCGATGACCTTGTTCACTCACGATCGGTATCCTTTCTTTTCGAGAGAAACTTCGAAGTCTGTAGGGTGAGATCTCGAGAATCCGAGCGAGCCAACGCGGAGGAAGACGAAAAGAAAGCCGTCCGCGTATATAGTTGTTTCCTTCCGTGGAGAGATTTTATACGAAGCGATGATCTATCTCAAAACATAATTTTCTTATATCAAAAATTCTACGAAAACAATTCATTTCTGATATGAAATTAAAAGAAATCACGCATTATACATATATATATATATATATATATATATATATATACTTCGTTTTTATGAAAAAGAAAGAAAGAAAAAACGGACAAGAAAATTAAACGTTGGAAAATTCGCGGGAAAATCGTAGATTCACGGGTACGATAAAGTAACGTACCCTTCCATCGTGCGACCCCTCTCATAATTTTTCTTTTCTCATTTTTTCCTAACCATATCTTTTCTCTCTCTCTCTCTCTCTCTCTCTCTCTCTCTCTCTCTCTCTCTTTTTCATCGAATTAAATGTTAGTCGTTCGCGCGTGGCTCAAAGAAGCCAATCAAATTCATGGCTTCCTTACTCGACTGTACTCTCCTCCGTGGTGTTCGGGCCACGCTGTGCTGAATTCGCCAGCCGCCATCATCACTGCCGGCTCTCTGCCGTCGTATGTACGTGTATAATACTGGATATATGTATACGTAAGAGCGATAATTCTTTTCGTCGCGCGAACGACCGAGAACGCGAGCTCTCTTGCTTCGATGAGAAGAAGAAAGAGAAAGAGAGACGATCGGTGGAGTAGAAGTAGGAGAAGGAAAAGGAGGATATTGTGTTGTGGGCTCGGTTGTGAGGTGGGGGTGGGAGGAGGAGAGTAGTTCGAACTTCTTTCTCCTGACCGTATTATTCCTTTCGAGTCTCTCTCCCTCCCTCGCTCCCATCGTCATTCTCTCGCTCTCTCCGTCCCTTTCTCCTCTACCGATCGTCGTTCGAGAAAGAGAAACAAACTACATTGAGTAAAACGGGTGAGAGGGAAAGACTGAGTGCGAGAGGGGGGTGGGCAAGAGGGAGGGAGAAGGAGAGATTAAATTTGTGCTTCTTTCGTCGACTGTACTCACGGCGGCGTGGTTTCTGCACCGCATCGTGTGCATGCGTGCGCGAACCTTCGCCGTCTGGCTGGCCTGCCACCATACGCGGCCTCGTTCTCTCTCTCTCTCTCTCTCTCTCTCTCTACCCCCCTGTTTCCCC